CGCAGATAATGCCCTTCATCCACTGTACCACTGTACAATAGTAATGCGATAAGTACATTGTTTGAAGTTTCATTGCAGTTATATCATAAAACCATGAAAATATTTGAGTATTTCTTTATTTTATGTCCTCTACGAAAACGCACCATTTAATGGTACTTTAATAAGTTAATTAGTGTAATTACACGTAAGTTACCTAATAACGTGCTTAGAACTGTTCAAGTAATGTGTAAAGATGGTGGACAGTAAAGAAGCATGGGTGCTGCTGATTACAAACTAGATAAACGTAGGTGCAGGTGCGACCCCGCAATCATATGTAAATGTGCAGTCTTATTATATTCATCGAAGAATGGATCACTTAATTGGAAATGAAATTAGAATAAAAAATCACATCTATACAAAGTATCACGAGTGTGTGGCGCTGCGTGTTGTTGCCGATTTTCTAATATATCACAAACATGCTCTGGACCGGTTCTCGTGAGATCCGTTAGTTCTTTATGTAAATTATTTGGTTTACGGCATGCCTCCTAGTTTACATACGAATGCTTCAACTTAAAACCATCCTAATGTTGGCGCATAGAAACTGATGTCATACTCGCGGATAAAGAGAAATATTGGAACGGATTATAGAAAGTATAATTTACGAGCGACGTGTGTGTGATACTTGATGGTGCTGCAGCTAGGCTGATAGGTACTTTTGTCGATGATTAGTTTTATATGTGGCAAAACTGTTTTTTTTTTAATGAGGGTCGCGTTTATAATTTTATTGTCAAATAATAAAATTTATTCCTTACAAGTGGTAGTATTCAAATTCAAAATATCTTTATATCATAAAAAAATAAAATTGTTTTAAATCGTTTTTATGTAGACTCTAAAGTCATACACATCAATACACAGTAGCAACAATCTCTGTTTTGTCAAATAATAAGGATTTTTTTAATTAAAAATTATGCTAATACAAAATCTATGATATGCCTGTGCCGATCTACAACCACTCTTTTGCAATTTACAGATAAATACAATGGCATCTTTCAATATATACCTCAACATTGTTTGGATGTGGCCAGTATGTCCGTTATTAAAGGCAATAAAGAGAAAAATAAGATTAGGAAAAAAGATCAAATAAAAGAGAAAGTGAAGTGAAACATAAAAAAAATAATAATAATAATAAAAACACCCTAGCCCACATCACATTTCCACTTAAGAAAGAGCTTGCGCTAAATTATTTCCAAGCATTTTTGTCTTCTATGTAATTTACAATTGAGTAATAGGCTTTCTGACATAATTTAAGTTTAATTGCGGATTTAAATTTGTTAATACTTAAGTCTTGAATATCATTTGGGATTTTATTATAAAATCGGACACATTGACCTCGAAACGACTTGTTTATCTTTTGCAGCCTAGAGGCAGGTACTACAAGTTTATTTCTATTTCTGGTGTTTATAGAATGCACATCACTTTTTTTCTAAATGCTATCCTTGTTTCATGAACACACGAGTATATTACATTTTCATATATACCTACATATATTGACATGCCACTGTCATTATGTTTATTTCTTTAAATTTCTGCCTCTCTTTTGCAGTACAAAAACAGTTTATTTGTGTATTACACTGGCGACCTGGATCACACATTACTAGTAGGTATCCTTTTAATACCTTCAGCTAAGTTAAGACTAATATTCAACTGTAAATCAAAAAATCTGTCTTTTATATAATAATAAAAAATACTGACTGCACAGAAAAGTTACCTCAAATTATTATTAATTTACCAACAATATGTTCGTGACGTATCGCTATTATTTGAAAGGCAGAACTTTTTTATAACCCAACCTACTATCCTGGTGACAGCTTGTTCCTGACGGGGTTACCGGAACTAAACCCTAAAAAATAGGTATTAGCCTCCTATTCCAAATTGGCCAGACGGGTTGCAAAAATAGTTATTTTGTTATATTTGTGAGTTTGGTTAATTTGATGTGCAATCAGTAAATTGTTTCGTATATTGGACAACTGCTTTTTCGCGCATTAGAGGGAAACATAATACAATAAAGTATTGATGCATATTGACGGATTATTTTTACTACTAGTTTTGTTTAAGATGTGGTTTGTTTGCATTGTTTGATGAAAAAAATATTTAATTAATGTAAATAAGTTGACGGGTGATAATTTTTTGATGTGCAAACAGCAGATTTGACGGCTTCGGTGGTACAGTGGTAGCGTATGCGACTGTTGTGCTGAGGTGTCGATTCCCGGGTCGTACCAAATGTTTGTATGATCTGCAAATACTTGTTTCGGGGTTGGGTGTTTTCTATGAATAATAATAGTTTATTTGCCATAATATTTTAGAATCAAGGTGAACATGTTTCTAGGTATCATAAACATCACATTATTTCATTGAACTCTGGTACCCAAGGTAAGATTAAACTTGTGGTATGGGTAACCAGAAACTCTCGCATAAATACATACAAAAGAAGTAAAATACTATATTAGCGACTTATTTATACAATTTTACTTCATTTTAAATTGAAATATTTCACAATCACAATATAGGTTGGGATGTGTGCGCGCGTGTGTGTGTGTGTGAGTGTCTTAAATTGAATCTGGATGAGTGTATAAAAAACCTTTAATGTTGCTGAGGGTTGTACGCCATGATTCAGAAAATAGGTGGACCCTCAGTGCATACTGCGGTGCATAGATTCACTCAGTATTGAAGTATTGATTTTCAGTGCCCACCTTAGTTGTCACCCTGAAGCCGACAGCGATTATGTGTCGATGTCTTTTAAACACAATGAGAATCACTTAAAACAAAAATGGCACCGCCTGGTTAAAAGGCCTGATATTGCAGACATAAACCCGAGAGGTCCATATGCTACGCCAACAAGAATAAAGCCGGCACGGGTTTTGTAACTGACTTGTTTACACTGGTGTCAGTCACTCTTCCTTTGTTTTAAATTGGGTCCCAGACGACTAGGCTAAGACGATAGTAATTTTATCCTTAGTAACTTTAACAATATACTCGTAGTAGATTATGGAACAGAAAGTGTTTTATTTATATTTTATCGTATGCGTAAAACGCAAGTATACTTTAAATTTACTTAGAATATCCGCCAAAAAATAGTTTTTTTCTTGTTCGTGGGAAAAAATTAAAACGTCTTTGATGTAGTTACCTATAAACATGAAATCTCAATAGAGGTGACGTTTGTAATGAAAAGAATTCGATTACTATGCACCGCGATCGGGGAGGGCGACAGTGGTCCGCGAGCGTTAGACCGCTCCTAGGGAAACGTTGCCCAAACTAGTTTGGGACCAAACGGCCATCACTAGAGCCACATTGTCCAGATTAATGCACAAAACCGGATGCTGCGTCTCCCGGCCATCGATAAAACGGTCACAATCTCTATAAAACCAGCCCCGACAATTCTTTATGTGATCTCTAGCGTTGACCGCCCTTTCATAACGTAGCGCGCTTGTCATTCATCAACTGAAATGAAAGGAATTTGTATAATCAGCTGATAGACGGGCTCCCGAGCCACTCGCCTAACGGTACATCTTTGATCAATTATCCGATCGAATAGCCTATCTCCCTAACCGACTTGTCTAACGAACTTTTAACGCATTCTTATAGAAATGGAAAGTTAACCAGTTCTTTTTTATTTCTATAACCCGTGACTCTCGTTTTAAAATACGCAGATTATGATTGTTTAGAATATCCGCTGTAACTGGAGACACAATGGGCTCGGGAGAAATCGTCGGAGGATGCGCGATACAGAGGGCTCAGATAATATCGTGTTTCGTGAACTCTGCGCCGATGTCTAATTTCCAATACAATGGGTGCTGTAAAAAAGTGGCCTAAAATAAATGTGTCACAGTGCCACCCTCGGGCGGGCAGACAATGGACAAAGGAGCCCTCGAGAGCGTGCGTGAGCGCATTTAGCGACGCTACAATGCGCTGCGCCCACGCGCTTTGTCGCGTATTGTCGCGCAACACAATCGCGCACCGTCGATCGAGACGAGCGATCGCATCGTCTGCGTCTACTAGAGGCACACGTGTGCACTACACACGAAAAACATGTAAATCACATTATTCTCGAGGTGAAAGTTGAACGAGACGAGAAAAGTAAAAGTCTCGCAGACGCGTCGCATCTGCACCGCGACCTGATATCATATTATGTTAATTCGTTCTGTCGGCACGCGGGGGCGGCCGCCGAAGGGTTTGTCGCGATTGTTGCTCCTTATCTCGTGTTTTGGGTACACAATGCGACTTCAATTGTGTTTCTTACAAAGAGTCAAGAGACCAAAAAACTCCAGACCTCTTTTGTGGTATATTCATTTAGTTCCATTTATACTTTTTAATAATCTTTTACAAATCAACCCAATCTTTTTGTATCAATAGTTCATATGACCATAACGCTCTATTCATTATCTATTTGACATCGCGTTTTGTAAAGGGTTTTGATCAAATGATTTATGTTTCCCTCGCCAACTTAAAAACAAGCTTTTACTATCTTCTAACATTCGCTCTTGAATCTGTTTTATTTCAAATTCGGTTACTTAGAAATTTGACGTATTTTGTTCCCGCCATTACGCCTTATATTAATAAAATAATTAAATACTTTGTAGATTAATAATAATCTACAGATACTTCTCTTTGACTTAGATCGTGAAATTTGATGAGAAGCAAGAAGCTCACATAAAGAGAAAGTGCCAAAATATGGTTATTTGTTGTTATATCATATTTTTTGTAACCATTAGGCTATACTTAGATTTTGGAAAAAATTAACATAACCTTTATCTCTGTACACATGGTGCCCCTTGTTGAGCAAGTTTTTTTTACAAACTAGTTCTCTATCATAGCCATGGCGTGTGTGTAGGAACAGAATCAGGTGTGAGGCGATAAATGCTAAATTTATAATCTGATTGACACAGTGATATTCAGAGGCCGGAGAAATAGAGACGATCGCAAAAGTGAACGTAACCGATGAGATATGATGCACTAAATCGTTTTTAATCATGTTTCTGATTGAACCGCGGGTGATAATGATCTTCGATTAGCGCTGCGTTCTCCGGCCGTAAGTTACTCCGTCCGGGAGGCAGTTCGCCGCGCCGGCCACTCTCAATAACACCATTTGTTCCTAATGGATGAGACACACAGAGCTCCTCGTATTGATGGCAATCTCTTAAACGCGAATTAGCGCGGGGAACACGCGCCATATGTCGTCCCGCGGCTTCCATCCTCTAACTCCTCCGTTGCGGTTATAAAGCGGTGAGCACACGCATTTTAATTGTCCCATTAAGTCTTGTTAGGGGCGATGGGGACATGGCGCGTAACAATGATTCCGCTCTGCAACAATATGGTTTACTGATCAATCTTTGGCGTCAAGGTTTTGTTTATGGCGATGTCACATAACCAATAAATTGACAAAGTTCAAGTGTCGGTCATTAACCTTAATGAACAATAGAAGGGTCATCCAATCCAATCAAATTTTATAAGTACATAACATGTTGTGATCGGGTGAAAGAATCAACAAGTACGTACGTTATTTATCATAAAAAATGATTATTGAAAGAAAAACCATCATAAGACTTGATACTTTGGTACCAATAAAATAATAAAGTAGAGTAACAACAAATTCTTAAACTTCTAAGTTATATAAAATGAAAAAATGAAAAAATATTTATTTAGAAACACAAACAAAATAAATTACAGGAGTGCTTAACAAGACATAAAATTAGTGTAGCAGATCTTATCAGATAAACATATTTTGATTGACATAGTTAAAAATTAGGTTTTTTATGTATCGTGACCTCTTTCACGATCTAAATCAGTACAGAAACAACTTCTTTAAAACTAAGGTCATTTAATATTTGGCGTATAAAAAGCCTATCGGCTATACCGCCCCCGGCGGCCGCGGTCCACATTGTAAGGCCGTACGATTCGCTGCACCTATTGTGCGACCGTTTCCAGCCAAAACGTAAATAAAGGCAGATGTTACCGTACTCTAAAAATATAGAAACAGATTTCATACGGTCGCATGTAAAAATAAAGCCAGACAAAATCCAACCAAATTTGCAATAGAATAAGTTCAATATTGTGAACTTGTACGTAGAGTTATATTTGTTATGGTTTAATGCGAACTTGGCGGTCCAAGGTCCGCGTTTGTGTGGGTAGTTTTACAAAACCGAAATTGTGTAGTTTAATAAAACTTGTATTAAACGCCTGTTGTATTGATGCTATATTATTTATGACATAAATAAACCACGCTTTAGTGCAGTTGAAACAAGGTCGCGGCTGAATTGGCCATTGATTTGACGTGGACGCAAAAGTCAAACACAAATTTATTTAAATACTTCATCTTAAGTCTCGGCAACACGACATACATTGGCCGTAACTGAGCTGTAGCAGTGCGACTGTACAGGGTGCCGCTGTTTGCTCGTTCAGCAAACATCGCGAGCCGACACTTGGACAAATAGATGACGAGTCGCTTAGTAGCGGGATGTGCTCTCTGTATCCACTGATGAACAGCTAATATGACAACAACAAGGTATATTATCATGACGCCTTATCCTTGAACAATAAGGTCGAAGCGTATTGACAGACGCACGGTTTTGTTTGACGATTGGAACAATTAAACGTAAGTATCTTACAGTTTTACAAATCATTAGGTTTAGGATGTATATTAGACAGATGAAAGCCTGTTATATGTATTGACACCTTCCAGAAGTCTTTAGATATTTCGTCAGTATTTTTCTTTAATCCTTTAAGCAAGAAATAATTAAGTTTTAATATGTTTAGTATCCTTATTGCTTCCTTTGGATTTAGTTCATGCTATTGACTATTTTTCACTAATTACCTTATTGACTATAAAGACTAAAAGAACAATTTACACTATAGTATGATAGTGATGTATCAGACAGACTAAAGACACCTCCTAACGAAACACAGCAGTTGGTGTCGTTTAGTAACAGAACATATGTATATTATCTAATTCTTGTTAATCATCAGACCACAAAGTATTACAATTGACCAGAGCAGTCATCGCCACCCCCACGACAGTTAACAATTGAGCTAAAAGTGATTTGTCGAAAATAATAGAAGTAGCCTGATCGATCACCGCGCACATTAGCAGGCGCACAATGACGCGAACTGCGACCCCTAGGAAATGATTTAGCAGATTGTTTATGGCGAACTTATTGTTCCTTACCATTCACTCTTTGTGTATACATACATATACTTTTGTTGTGCGAAATGTGAGTAGCTTGGTTTATTTACTTACGGCTGGATGAGAGCCCAGAAAAAGTTAATTGTTGAGACTGATATCAAATAGAAGGCTGCAAGTCATTCACTTCTGATCACATCTAAGACTAATCTAATCCCTAAGTACGAGTTTTTACAGTTACAGTTTGTATAAAATTGAAATTTTCCAAAATAAAAAATAATATTATTATATTACTGATATTCAGCACATTTATTTCTAGGACATAAAATTCTAGTACATGACATTCCTTTCGTTTCACTTTCTAAGCATGTCTTTGCCTCTAGAAGAAAAATATTCAAAAGAGTAATGCTTTAAACTCGCTACAATAGATAAATTTTTCGAAGTTGAATTGGGCTCAGGTATGGATATGTATCTTTAGTGACGATACGATAATATAGTACACTGGAGCTGTTGCGATAATAGAGCCGGAACACTAAACAAAATAAACCCATCAGTTTCGGCTTATTTGTTTTGTCTTGTTGAGTACTTTGGTGCTACAAGATATCTAGGGTCTGATAATGCAGTCGGAAGGCAGCCATAGGAACTTCTGAAGTAACCAAAGAATACGAAACAGACTCAAATAAATATATTATTATCATTTTATTATTATTTGGCTTGATTGATTCGTCTTTTAGAGGAAATAAAAACTTGATATAAAATATTTTTTATTGGTTTTAATTTATTAGTCTTAGATTCAAAGGTTCCGCATGTGTGCAATCGTTAATATCAACTATGAGTGTGTATTGAGACGGAAGACACGTTAACTCAAATATTTGTTAGAGTGGTTGGTGCTTTATCGAGCAGAAGATGTCATTAGATGTTACGAGTGATTATTTGCTACAATAGTGCGTATATTACTTTCTTGCGTAATATAATTATTTGATTTTCCATGAACCACTGAACTTTGCGGAGTGGATGGAAAATATTCGATTTATTTAATTAATCTACTAGAATTTATCTTCAGTAACAGTTTTTTACTAGCTACCTTTTTTGTCTCTGTATTTGTAGAAAAGAAATAAATATACTTAACTAAATTAAAAACATCACACTAGCGAAACAAATTAGAAAATAGAAAACAGTTTCACTATCTACCTTGATCAATTTGATTGTTGGCAATAAATAATACATGTATGAAAGCACATAAGCCTATTGATTATTAGCTCTTACAGGCACTTAAGAAATCTTGCAATTCGCATGCATCAATGTTACCCTACGCCTTCGGCTGCCATTACAACACTGCATATCTTTGAGGATCGCTCCAATATTTTTATTTCAGAATTAATATTATTTAGAGCACATATAAAGTTACTTATTGATATATGCGTGAGACGCAAATCAGTGGACAAAAATAGTCTGCAACCGTCAGTTAACCTGCGAATCGCGCCAGGGGTTTGTACGGACGGTTATTTAAACAGAACGTTATCTTCACGCCACTAGCCATATACGGAGAGACAGGCTGTGCTCCTATCAACTCATATACAAGCAAAGGTGCTGTCAGCAAATTATTTTTATCCCTAGCCGTTGCAGAGGTGACGGCGCAGAATGATTTTGCCGAATACGGTTCCTAAATTTTAGGTATGTCGGCAAGGAATTACAACGTAAAATAAATCTTTGTTAATCTGTCACGTGTTTTAAGTCAAAACAAAAATGTATTCTCAAAGTGTTACTAGTCTTGTAACTGTTCATGCTTTACAATTTAGGCGCACGGAAAGATTTTGCTTTAAATGCGAGCAGTTACGTATAATATTTAAAATGTGTATATTTAGCATTCATTTACAATAAATAGTAACAGTTTAATTCAACTATAATACAATTACAATTACTTGTTAACGTTGTTATTATTTACTAGAAATATTTTAATAAATAGTTTTAAGGCAAATTGCTACATATATTACACTAGCTGATCCGCGCAACTTCGTCTGCGTCTCTCAATAGTAATAAATTTTCTCCGTTTTTGAAACATTCTTCATTGGTGCTCCGCTCCTATTGGTCTTAGCGTGATGATATATAGCCTATAGCCTTCCTCGATAAATGGGCTATCTAACACTGAAAGAATTTTTCAAATCGGACCAGTAGTTCCTGAGATTAGCGCGTTCAAACAAACAAACAAACAAACAAACAAACAAACTCTTCAGCTTTATAATAGTAGTATATATATATGTTGCGTGCCTTAGATGGTCGTACATAGTTGGGCAACACGGATACCGGACTGTAAACCGGATGGTTTCGCCATCTCTCCTGTTAGTCACACTGGAGATGCCTATGTATGTATTATGCGGGCTCATTTCAACGTTTTACAATCCTAAATGGCAACAAGTAATCGTTACCGGACGGTGGGTGTAGGTATCTGTGATATATCAAAACTACAACATTTGTTTACAGTGCAGTTACGTACAGTTAGCTGAAGGCGGTGAACACCGAAATTCTACTTTGTCAAAATGTATTTCACCTCGGTAGCATACTTAAGAATCAATTTATTTAGTGGTATTATTATAATGATCAATGTTCAGTTTTGGTCTCTCGCACAGGTTTATAACAATTGGACAAGCGCCTTAGCCTGACAAATTCCATTTTTCAATAACCTAAACTGGGTTTAAGGTTTTTGTTGCGTAATTCTAGAAGGTTCTTAGTAGTAATCTATTGTCTGGATTCAGTTTTCTTCCGTTTGTCTAAAGCTTAATCATATGAATTGTTCAAAATTAGTTTCATGGCCTCTCTTTGTTTTGAGAATTTCTATTTTAGTACGCATTGATAAGCATTTTTAAGCAGCAATTACAAAAAAATGACGAGGTTTAAGCCTTTCTCACACATATCAAACTAACGGCCTAACATAAAACTATAACTTCGAAAAGACCAGTTTTTGATTGCCCAGTGTATATATATTATTATGAATACAAATAGAAAAGGCCGCACAGTTACTAGCAGTAAGCACGTTGCGGTCGCAGGGTACACAAGATATTTATTGCTTATGGCGAT